GAAATAGCTAAAATTTCTTTTAAAACTATTAAAGCGTAATTATTTCACTTCTGTTTATTTTAATTTGTATGAAAGTTTAACATTGCTTTTTTGTTTGTTTAATGCATCATTTTCCTTTCACTTCACAGTTTAAATTCTTTTTAAACCTTTTTAAACACCATCTAAATCCCTGATAATTACATTAGACTTTCTGGTTGTAATGTGACAAACTGTTAAAATGTTTAGAGGTGTATCAAAACTTTTGTATGGTCCTGCATTTGAGTGGGACGAACTATGAGAGGAGGACCACCTCCTGATGGTCTGACTGATATATCGCCACTGTGGTTCTCAATTAAACTGCTTCAACAGGTTTTTCTTCACAGATCATCTTAATCCTTGTTGGACTTTGGTCTGTTCACCACCAGAATGAAACCTGCTTTCGCTAACCTTTAGAAAACAAGTATACTTGCATATAGTTTCCTCAGATAAAAAGAACATATTCAGAGTAGAAGAATGGGGTAGAAACAATTCATAAACCATTAAAACTCTTCTCATGTATCTCAAACATCAGTTTCATTAATTAATAAAGCACAATCCTTTTCAAAGATTTAAGCATACATGGCAAGCACTTCTGTTATTTACCATCTGATTTCTTTGTAGATGAAAATCCCTTATGTTGAAATAATCAGAACATGCTTATTTAGGTGGTTTCAGCCTTTTAACCTGAATAACAAACAGTTTTAACAGAGTTGAAGAATATGCAGGATAACTGGAGGATACAAAAGGAAGCTGTGAGGAGCCGCACAAGACAGCCGAGACCGGTAATCTAATTATGTCTACATTTCCCACAAAACGATTTCTCTAACTAGGTTGTGGAAACCGAATCCCTCTTAACTTCTTGAGAAGAAGAACAAATGTCAGTGGTGAAACATGACTCGAGAACCAAGGGCCTCTCAATCAATATATGCTGTGTGGGAGGTAACAATCGTAGCCGCATGTTGGTTTGGAGACTTTATGATGTGAATAACAACATTTACAAAGTTCATTTTAAGCCGAACTGAATGAAATTCACATATGTTGGAGCTAAAACTGAAAATCCATCATTACAGTTTATTTGAGCTCCCTCGTGCCAATGAAGGTGTCAGGATGAACCTCTGAGGAACCAATCTAATTTTGGCTCTGCTCATTGACTTGAATGTGATTATAGGAATGGGAGGCAGCCATCAGCAGGCAAAGTGACTCAGCTGTTAAATTTAAGTGTGTGGTTTAAAACCACCATGATCCACACTGATCGCAACATGTCTCTTTAGTGAATGATTGAGATTTAGATTTTCTAATCTTATTTACTGACAGAATTTGTTAAATCCCCCCAAATTGTTCCAATTTAATATGATCTTTTTATGTAGATACATGTTGTTTAACAGCTAGATCTCTTATTGTGCTCCTCTGATTTTAATGCCTGATTCAAGGTAAAGCATAATCCAGTTCAATTCTATTAAAGTCAGTGTATTTATATATAATGCCAATTTACAACACATGTTATCTGAAGGCACATTACAGTCAGATTGCAAACTTTTCTACCTGATGACAACCAGCTGATTGCATCCAGTCATTGAGTTGGTCACACTCCTCCTGGGTGAGAATGTGGCGGCGGTAATTATCCGCTTGCATTTTGTCATTGACCAAAAATGAACGCAGCAACAGTGAAGTAGACTTCCTAAAAAATGGAAATGTTTGAAGGTATAGTAGAGGATTTTGATGATTTTTTTTTTTTAAACCTGCCCTCTCCACTTAAAAAAGAAAAGTGCAAATGCACAACCCTGTACCTGCTCCCAAGACCATACGCCTATTAAATGGCTGTGAGAGCGTGCACGAGCCCATTCCTCCTTGTGCATGCTCTGTATAAAAGTTGCTGTTTGCATCGCTCATACAGGCTTACTTTCTAAAAGAAGATTTGCCATTTTTTCCTCTATGTCAGACTCACCACTGGTAAGTGAAAATGGGGACGAGCACGTAGGACAGCCTTATGTAAACATGTCACCAGAATGATTGACAATTAGGAGGACCAATTATTTTGATGATCCACCCGGAAAAAGAACATCCTCCACTTTAAACTTTAAAAGAAAGGAAGTTTTTTATTTTTGGTATCACCTTGAATCCTTGGGGTAAAGCTATATGGAGAATGGGTATTTAATATTCCAGATTGATTAAATCAGAAGCATATCACACATAAAACAGTAAGGTTTGTGTATTATCATTTTCTTTTTACACAACTTTCTCCACATATGTGGTAACTGAAAAAAGAAATGCCAATAAATGTACATCTTTAAACAGCTAAACTCTCTATAAGATCCCTGATCTTTTCTTTTTTTTTCTTTGCTGGAAGTCAGTCAGAAACCCAAAGCTAGCAAAGTACCTTTTTGGGGGCCAAATCTTCATTTTCTGCTTCATCAAACCATAAATTATAATCCAATAAGTTTCCATCTGGGCTCTGAAGATAAATACCTTAAAACATTTAGATAACCAGTTTAAAGAGAATAACCTTGAATGAAATTGTTTAAAACTATTACAGTATAGAGAAAATATACATTGTGGATAAGTTTAAACTGTGATAACTAGGTTATAATTAGTGTTATAACCTAGTTATCACTAGTGTTATCAAGATACTGATACCAGTATTGGGCAGGGCCCCAATACTGCTCTAAAATGGTGGTATCAGTATCAGCGAGTACCAGAGATGGGAAGTAACGAAGTACAAATACTTCGTTACTGTACTCAAGTAGATTTTTCTGATATTTTTACTTTACTTTACTACTTATTTTTATGCCGACTTTTTACTTTTACTCCTTACATTTTTACACAAATATCTGTACTTTCTACTCCTTACATTTTAAAAAATTGGCTCGTTACTTTAGTTTTGAATCATTTCAATGGAGTTACCGTTATTATTTTTCACGTCATCAATACCAAATTCAGTCTAATTGGATCGGAATCTACGTTGCATTTGACACACCACTACAAGATGAATCGACAGATTCGGTGGTATTCATTCGCGGCAAATCATTGCAGCTTGGTGGCGGTGGCGTTAGCATAGTAGTATGGACGACAAGATGATTCAAAATGAACGCAACGGAGATCTCCATTTAAAATGTAGGCAACGGTATGAAAAAAGTGGTTTCTACTTTTACTTTTATACTTTAAGTAAATTTACAAGCCTGTACTTTGTTACTTTTACTTGAGTAAAGAAGTTTAATCAGTACTTCCACTTTTACCAGAGTATTTTTTAACACAAGTATCTGTACTTTTACTCAAGTACGGAAAGTGAGTACTTTTGCCATCTCTGGCGAGTACCAACAAATAGGGCACGGATACCATTTTGTGAGCCAAAAGTTTATTCAACTATTGCCACCCATTCCAGGTAGGCAATAAAAAGTTCTACTGATTCACTTTGTTTAAGTCTTTTTCCTGCTTCACAAAGGTAGGCAGCACATTGACAAAGCCATGATGGCAATTATTTTACATCCAAGTAGTATGCAGTTCTTCATATATACACACACATTAATTTCAAACAGATGGTATCGGCCAATACTGCACAGCCAGGTATCGGGGCCAAAAAATGGAATCGGCATGACACTAGTTATAATGCTAAAAGAAATGTATTAATGTTATGTATATATAAATGCAGCCACTCAAATCTCCAATAGCTCAGGGTAAAGGTACCACCTTCTTATCAGACACTTCCTAGAGTAAAGTGCCTCCATTAACGTTTTACTTGTATAGTTTTAATGGAAATGAAGGGGGATGAAGACTGAGCCCCAGAAAAGAAACCTGCTCAACAAACAACTTTTATGTCACCCAGAAAAGTATGTAATGTTTCAAATATTCTAACTTGTCAGTGTTAAACTACATATTTTGTTTAACAGAATTACATTCTGAGACACAAAAAAATAAGATCTGGATTTTGCTGTGCCAAATCTTAACACTGCTCTTCTAACTGCAATAACTTTAAGACATCTTGGAATTGTAATATTTATTGTAGATAGATAAAATGTGTCACGGCTGAGTGAAGGTTTTTGAGGACCCAAATGCAGATTTGAGGAGGCAGAGGTGAGCTTTAGAGATTTCATGAAGGCAACTGAGGCAGAGACCCAGAAATACTGAAAACCAAGAACTCAGAAGATTCCTGGGAGAAATAAACACAGGGAGCAAATTAACAACAAAACAACAAGAAACCAGCAGAGGTGGTATATAAATGGGAAACAGGATGGGCTAATGAGCTGAATATGGAGAAGTTGTAATTAGAAGTAACACAAGGGGGCAACAGAGTAACTCAAGAACTAAACACTGCTAGAAAACAACTACTGGTATAAAGACACAGAATACAAAGAAACTAGGGTTGTCAAAAGTATCGAAACTCAAAAAAGTATCGATACTGAAAAGTTGTATCCGGATACAATACTCGTTTTTCAAAGTATCGATACAGTGCCACCACCAGTGGCACCTAAGCAGTCATTCATCTAGAGTGCAGAACAGAGGACAGGGCACTTTCAGAACACTGTGTGATTGAATAATTCTGTGCACTTTTCAGTTTCAGACTTTTTTTTTTGTAAGAACTGCAGCTGCTGAGAATTATTTTTGTTTCTTAACCGGTTTGGCTAGTTTCATTGTTATGTGTGCAAAGCATAGCCAAGGAAGGAACACTTAATTTTAATTTTATAAGTTTTTTATCAAGCTTGCTTAATATAGTGCACAGCATACAACCTTTATTGTATTTTATTTATTAATGAAAATATTTCGGTAGAATTTTGGATTCTTTGTTTTTATCCTTGTGGTATCGAAAATGGTATCGAGTATCGAATATTTTCCTTAGTATCGGTATCGAGTTGAAAAGTTTAGTATCGTGACAACCCTAAAAGAAACTAAAAAATAAAACTTAAACAGAGGGCTGAAAGCTGACAAAATATTCATTTTTTTCCTTGCAAGATTCAGCTCAGACCCCATTAAGCACAAAGCAGACGAGGTTTGGAAAGATGATGGCTTTTTAATCTCAGATTTAAAGTCAAAGGCATAAAAGAAATTACAAAGTTTAAGGACTTCTGCTTTATTATTCAACATCTGACATTCATACAAATATAAAAATCTAAATGGAAAACAGACACACATTTAACCATATTTACAGTCCCACACTTTCTCCACCTTGCAAGCTGATCACTGTCCATCAATAATAACAAAACCTGAGATGATAGCTGCTTAGCTGTGCGGGGTTTCAGCACTCAGTGTTTTCCAGATCCACAGTGGGAGGAATTTTCACTGCGTTTCTCATCAGTTCCTGTTCTGGCTGAACTGAGGGCTCATCACAAGCAGCCATTCAATGGTCTCCTCCAGGAATCTCATGTTGTAGTGGGAAGCTATGTTTCGAAAGACCGTGATCTGCTCGGAGAAGCTCTTTGAACGGAAAAAGAAAAATGTCAGACGTCATAATTACACACTTTATGACTGATTTAAAAAATGTTTGTTTGAAGCAGAAACCTTGGCTGAAAAAGTCAGGTTGAAGTCTCCAGCACATGTGCAGTAAAGGGGCATGTTGGCTTCTTTCACCCCTTTGCATTTGGTGCACACCTAAAAATCCCACCAATGATGGGAGAAAGACGGATATGAGAAATGACTCAAACATGATGAAATGAAAAACAGTTTAAGCAGTTAAGGTTAAACAGGGTCCAATTACATTTCAAAATTCTTTCAGACTGAAACCTTTGAAGTTTTCAAATCTTTATTTGCCACTTTTAAAGGATAAACAGAAAGCTAACTACAAATGTATGAAAGATGATTCTGAAAGGTTAAACTTGTACCACAACCAGAGGATTTTAGGCTTACAGACACATGAACACAGAACGAAAATTTATAAATTTCTCTTCCAACTGGTGTTTTTCTTTATCCTGAGCTGTAAATAGGTTTTTCAGAGTGAGTCTTTTGTTGTTTTACTTTGATTTTACCAATTTGTTGTACAGTCTCTATAATCAGGAAAGTGTCCAAAAACTCAGGATAAGCCAATTTATAGATTAGTTAGGAGAAAGATAAACAGGGTTGATGAAAAATGGATAAGTTTCAGTTTGTTTTCAGGCTTTAAAAGCCTCTTTGTGCTAAAACTACATGTAAGGAAGAGGAAGGAACAATAAATTGACAGACAGAAGAATGGTAAGCTGAGCCAATGAATGAAAGTGAAGATGCTTGAACTGGGGTGAATGGATGGATGCAAACACTAATAGATGGAAAACAGACAAAAATATTGATACTTTTTTTTTTTTCACCTGATGAGTTGGTGCTGCTTGATTTATCTTGTTTTACTCACCAGATCCTGCAGAGTGTAGCTCATAAGTTTCTTCTGCAGAGCTTCCACCAGCGCCATCTCAATAGAGTCAGTTTCATATTGCATCTGGCAGTTTGAGCAGAACCACTGAGGCAAAACAGACCCATCCTAAAAACACAAGAAAGTGGACCTAGAGCTCAGTCTCTCAGCTGCAGGTGTTTTTATGAGTCTGAGAATGTCAGGTTGGTGGTACCTGTGCCACAGATGGGTCTTTGCAGAGATCCAGGTCCCGACAGAAGTTGCAATGGTGACAGATGACTTCTGGCAGTATATAGGAGTTACAGGGATCACGAAACTGGGCTTGCTCAGAAAACTCTCCCACATCCACGAGTCGCAGGAGGTCTCTCTTTAGCTTGTTTACCTGATTCACGATGTTAGCATCTAGTGAAAGGACCTGAGGATGGAAAAGACAGGGAAGATTTATTTGAATAGTTGTCATTTTTATAATGACTTTCTATTTAACCATTCATTTAACCATTTGTTTTGATCGGTCAGGTGACCCAGGGTTTTAGAAAGGCACCCCTCAATTAAAATGAATCATTAATATAAAGTCAATAACTGGGTCATTTCATGTAATTCTAATTGTTCAGTAACTGAACAGAGCAAGGCTAATTCAACTCTTCCTTTAGAGAAGATCTCGGCTTTTATACAGTTCTGGATATTTTGGATAAATGTGGTGCTCAGCAGCACACCTGACAGACGTATTTGACAAACTCAAGCACTGGATTGTTGAGCAGCAGATGTGAACCGGGCAGGACGGGGAACATCTCCGAGGTCTGGGTTACGTTTCTGGTTCCCGTAACTTTTTTCTGGATCTTTTGGGTGATAGTGAAAATGTTTTGGGTCAGCTCACTGGCCACGTACTCCTGGGAGAAGGAGATCATTCCTGAAGGAAGGGAATTAATAAAAACGAATAAATTATATTCCTGAAAAACGAACTAGTTTAATACTGAAGTTACCGCCTGAACTGCATCTTACCAGGAAGCGCACTCAAGTCTCCGGCTGCCTGCTGGGATGCCTGGCTGCCTCCACGTCTCTTGATAGGCGTTGCTCCAGGAGCATTGCGTCTTAGCTCCTCTTTCATGCTGTGGTAGACTGCAGCTATGTAGGCTGGCATAAGAAGAGAGAGAAGATTACTGAAAAGTAAAACCTCAGGAAGAGACATGTTTATATGAGAAAGATGTTTGTTTACCTGATATAATCATGAGAAAGTATTTCTGACAGGAGGCTGTTTGGGGGAGATAATGCATGATATTCCAGTTGCTCTCTATCAGCTCTTCAACCTCATCAGTCTCTGCATCTCCATCATCTTCTTCCACAGCATCCTCATCTTCATCTTCACTGCCTTCATCTTCGTCTCCTTGTTTGTGTGTTTTCTGTTTGGCTCCTTCCTAAAAACGGCAAATCATCGTGAAACACTTTACAGATGGCCAATTCTAAAAATTTATGCTTAATATAGAGCAGTGCAGAGAGATCTGCTGATGGAACAGGAACACTTCAGCCTCATTGGTCCCAACTTGCAAACAAAAGCCAAAGATCCAACCTTTTCTGCCTATTAAAAAAAAAACATGCCTATGAGCCTAAAGACATAAATGGAGACAACATTCTTTGTTGTGGATGTAGAGAATGGAAGAGGTGTTTTAGAAAGACGAAGCAAAAAAGAAGCCATTTTAAGGGACAGTTATTTCTCAGCTGACTGTTGATGTCACTCCTCTAGATTGCTAACTTTCAATTTGATGCTATGCCACTTTTACATTTTTAGCCTTTAACAGAGTTTTATTGAGACAAATAAAAGTGTCAAATTATTTCCTGCTTGTGAACTGATGTTAAATTTTAGATCATTGACATTGAAAGGGTTACAGCATCTTTTCCAATCTCAGTCTGCATGGATCCTTAGTGGACAACACAGACTAGTTATTAACAGTAGGGCTGCAACTAACGATTATTTTGCAAATCGATTAATCTGTCGATAATTTTTTCGATTAATCAGGTAGCCAAAGGTTCCTTAAAGAAGATTGTTTACGAAATCAACCCAGGTGAAACTAAAACTTTTCTACTTGAATTCTGGATTTTATTGTCAGACGAAAAAGTTTTTTTTAATCTTATGTGCAAATTGTTTATGCATTTTTTTTTTTTACAACTTTGATATCATTACTGCTCTAATTGGGTTCCCATGTCAGCTTTAGACATATTTTAGTCTCTATTCTCTAGTTAACAATTAATCGGTCACTAAGCTGGTTGACAATTATTTCAATAATCGATTAATCACGATTAATCAGATTGTTTTAGCTCTAATTAGCAGTGCTATGTAGTCTAGTGTTTCTCTATAATATTCCATTTTCAACTTTTCCTTTTCAGCTGCAGGTTACAGCTTCAATTATAAGGAAACTAAGAGACGCTGTGCTTGGCTTGAGATTATGAAAACTTTGAAGAGTGGCTTCTAGGTTTTATGTTTATTAAATTTATTTTTTATTTAACCTTTTGATTGTTTTGCCATTTTAATGGTTTACAAAACTTTGCAGATTTTCCTGACCTCTGAAAAGGAAAGCAGAGTTAAAAGACCATAACTGCCACCCTTTAATCTTTTAAATTAAAGTCATTAACTGTTCCCTGGAAAGGTAAAGAGGACAGATTCATTAATATAATAAACCAATTACTTATACGCTCTAACTTAATAAAGTTCTGTTCTACATGTTTTTGAAAATTTCTGACATTTTTCTCCAGCAGCTCAAAACTTTACAAAAATCAATGAAGATCCATCCATCCATCCATCTTCCTCCGCTTATCCGGGGTCGGGTCGCGGGGGCAGCAGCTTAAGAAGGGAGGCCCAGACTTCCCTCTCCCCAGCCACTTCTTCCAGCTCTTCAGGAGGAACCCCAAGGCGTTCCCAGGCCAGCCGAGAAACATAGTCTCTCCAGCGTGTCCTGGGTCTTCCCCGGGGCCTCCCCCCGGTGGGACGTGCCCGGAACACCTCACCAGGGAGGCGTCCAGGAGGCATCCTAAACAGATGCCCAAGCCACCTCAACTGGCTCCTCTCGACGTGGAGGAGCAGCAGCTCTACTCCGAGTCCCTCCCGGATGACCGAGCTTCTCACCCTATCTCTAAGGGACAGCCCAGCCACCCTACGGAGGAAACCCATTTCGGCCGCTTGTATCCGCGATCTCGTTCTTTCGGTCATGACCCAGAGTTCATGACCATAGATGAGGGTAGGAACGTAGATCGACCGGTAAATCGAGAGCTTCGCTTTTTGACTCAGCTCTCTCTTCACCACGACGGACCGGTACAGCGCCCGCTTCACGGCAGACGCTGCACCAATCCGCCTGTCGATCTCCCGCTCCCTTCTTCCCTCATTCGTGAACAAGATCCCAAGATACTTAAACTCCTCCACTTGGGGCAGGACACCCCCCCTGACCCGGAGAAGGCACTCTACCCTTTTCCGGCTCAAGACCATGGCCTCGGATTTGGAGGCACTGATCCCCATCCCGGCCGCTTCACACTCGGCTGCGAACCGATCCAGCGAGAGCTGCAGATCACGACTTGATGAAGCCAACAGGACCACATCATCTGCAAAAAGCAGAGACGCAATCCTAAGGCCACCAAAACGGATCCCCTCAACACCTTGGCTGCGCCTAGAAATTCTGTCCATGAAGGTAATGAACAGAATCGGTGACAAAGGGCAGCCCTGGCGGAGTCCAACTCTCACTGGAAACGAGCCCGACTTACTGCCGGCAATGCGGACCAGACTCTGACACCGGTCATACAGGGACCTGACAGCCCGTATCAAAGGGCCCGGTACCCCCGTACTCCCGGAGAGTCAATGAAGATACATTTTCCAAAAATCTCAGATTTGTGCATCTCTGGTCAATATAATATGGGTCACCTAAATGGCGTGTTTTCCTTTTTTCCAGAACAAGTAGTTGTGGCTTCATCTTTATACATTTACAGTTAGAGAAGTCTGGCTAATCCTAGAGCTACACTCAAATTTAACATCACATGCGTGTCTCACCTCCCCGTACAAAATGCTGGAAGGCAGTTTGCCCTTCACACCACCGTAGTTGGCTGGGTCCATCCACAACAGGAACTCCCAGCATCGTGAAAAGGAAATGGACAGAGAGTGGAAGATTTCTTTCGTATGTATGCTAGAAGAGAAACAGAGCAGTGATGTTATCCAACCCATGATGGCAGATTGTTGCAGCTGGAAACATTTACATCAAGAGAATAAGATTCCAACCAATAAGTTTTTACATTTTCTCCAGTTATTGAGAAAATCAGATCACAATTTACTGAATAGCTCCATATATCATCCATTATAGATCTCACTGAGATTAAAATAATCTCCTTTATAATATACAAAAATGGCAGCAGCACACAGACAATTTCAAATAACAAAACTACAGACATGAAAATATAAGATACAATTCTGGTAAATATACAAAAATAACAATAACAAACTACACTATTTAAAATTAGTTAAACATCTACAAACAGAAAACTTAATCATAAAATAGTTCAAAGGTACGAGCAGAGAGCAACTGCTTCCACTTCTAGTGCTTCTGCCATTTATTCCAGTCAGATTTTAACCCATAATCAGAGCAAACCTTTGGTACATTTAGTAAAACAATTTTTTGTGAAAGCAGAGAGTGATTTCAGCTACAGAGAGGAGATGAGGGAGAAGTAAACCCAAAATGGCTTTGAAAATGAAAGAATCTGCATATGGATAAGGAAAATAATCCAGCATGATCCAGTGGTGAGCAAGGGCTCCTCTTCACTTCCATTACGTGCTACAAATGACTGCCCTCAAGTTCACCTAGGAGGAGTTCATTCTGCAAGCCAACCAGTTTACATACTAAGCTAAACTTGACAGAAATAGGTTAGTTAAACTGGGATGCATCTACTTGACTTGGAATCTGTGTGTAAGATTGGACTGAAGTAACTTTGTTGTGTCTTGGGATGACATGTTGTAAATCTACCCAACCTGAACTGAATTCTCCTGTTTCGAGTTTCTATTTCAGGAGGAATTTTCATGCAATTTTCAAGCTCTTAATGGTCTTGCCCCGCCCTTCCTGTCTCGCTCCCTTAGATCAGTTGACCAGTTTTTACTGAGGGTGTCAAAGACAAAACGAAAGCTCAGAGGGGACTGTCCTTTTTCTGTTGCAGCCCCTAAGCTGTGGAATGACCTTCCTTCGGCCATTAGGCAGGACTCTTCACTTTATGATTTTAAATCTCTTCTTAAGACCCATTTATTTTCCTTAGCTTCCCTTGGCTTTGACAATCTAAGATAGTGACTTTGTCTCACTGCGTTTCCTTTATTATTGCTTTTCATTTTATTACTACTTTTATCCAACACTTTATTCATTGTTTTTATGATTGATCATTTGTATTTTATGATTGTGTATAGCACTTTGGTCCTTTTGGGCATTGAAACTGCTTTATAAATAAATTCGGTACAGAAAGAACATAGATCACATTTCAAAGAATAGAAATGTGATCTATGGGGTATGAATGACTGACCTGTTGGTGATGTATTCCACATAGGCAACAGCGTCGTCAATCCTTCGTTTTTTTGTGCACAAGATGATCCTGTTAAAGTTCCCATACACCACGGTTGACCCGAGACGTTTGAACTCAGCAACTAGCCTGTCAGCAAAAAGACAATGATAATGATTAAAACAGCATGTAGCCAAAAAAATAAACCAGCACAGCTGATATAGGATGCTGCTTTGCAGAGAGAGAGAGATAACAGATAGATAGATGCTGGAGCTCTGGAAAATAAGAACATATTTGCTTTGAGTACTTTAATCTTTAAACAAAAGAGCAAACAGAGCCTCTGGATTATAAGTAACTTTACAAATCTGTTTGGATTTTGCTGCTCATAAAGAAATAAAGGTAATGTTCCCATTCCATGTCTTGTTTTCTTATATGCTGCCATTTTTAGCGACTCATCCTAATGCATGGACATCTCTATGGCAGCAAGAAATTATTTTTTAATGTGACCAAATGAATGCGTTATCAGGTAGTAAAACTGCTACGCCACTTACTGCAGAAACACCTTCTTCATCATGTTGTGCAGGGTGCGATGCAGCGCCGGGTCATAGAGCAGAGAACTCGGAGAGCGCAGCCAGCGGTAGAAATGCATCACCTGGTTGTCTGCATAAACGTTGTGGTACTGTGTGATCTCCCTCACCCATCCCACCACCATGCTTTTTAAGATCCTGCATGGCGAGGATGGAAAACCACAGTGAGAGAAAAGAATCTGTGAGCAGGTTTGCTGCAACACGACAGATGTTAACGCACCTGAAGGTGTTGGAGCACAGCGCCGTCTCGTCGTAGCTAGCCAAAGCGCTGGCGCCCTGGTTTCCTGACATCATGTCCTCCAACGAGGCCTGCTGGATCACATCAAAACTGACGCCCAGACTGGCTCCGCCCTCCATGTCGTTGACATGTTGCGACTGGAGGATTGTGTTTACTGCCAGACTCTGCAGGTCCAACTCCACACAAGCTGGTGAAGAGAAACAAAACCCATCAATGAAAAGTAAAAGGCATCTAAAAGAGCTCCATCCTGTGAAAGCATGCTTGTTTATTTACCTGTGGAGTAACATCCCTGAGAGTTTATCTCCACAGAACCCCTCTCGTCGTTTTCCATGACCAAGCGACTGTCATCAGCCTCCTTTCCTCCAAGGTCTGGTCTTGAGGTGGGAGAAAGCCACAGCAGGTGGTTGTGTTTCCGTAAATGTCTCGCTAGGAACAAATCTGAGCCAAAGATGGACACATCCTGAGGCAGGTTCCCCACAGGAAGGTGGTAATATCTAAAACCAGAAGCCGTTAGTGACATGAAGCCCACAGGAGTAATGAACAGTGAAAAGAGGGAGCGCTATTCATACCTGGCCATGTCGAAAGCCTGCGACAGGCAGCTGTCCAGGTTGAGGTAATGACGGATCATGCGGCGGGCACCGAGGCGTTGCCAGTCCAGCACATTGTAGCTGATCTCGTCCACCACATGTACTGGAACGACTGGGAACTCCTCAAGCACAGGCATCCCGGCTGCCAGTCGCCGCAGCTCCCAGTTAGACTGCACAGCGATGAGAGTAGGCCCCCGCCGCTCATCCTGGAAAAGCCAAACAAAGACAGAAGCTTTATGTCTCTGACATAAACACAGTCTTGCTTTAGGCTAAACCTTTCAGTTACTGACTGAAGCAACATTTTCATATCAAATTAACACCATGAGGTCCATCTATAAAACTTCAGTGCAGCAGGTTATAAATGCAGATGCTCTCCCTTTTATCCTTAGGGTCCCTCTTACTCAAACATTTTTGCACTTTTAAACAGTAAAGCAATTGAGATTTGTAAAGTAAAACAATGCAAACTGAAAAGGTTTAATTAACAATTTAAATCAATTCAAAACTACTTTATCAATCCCAGAGGGATATTAATTATATTATAGGGGCTTCCTGCACAGGTTGTTGTTGATGGCCGTAGCCAGGAAGGATCTGTAGCCTCAAGTGGAGTCCTGTAGTTTTACAGAGGAGGCCTCTGATGGAAGAGGCTCCGTTGTTGTATGACAGTGTGATAACGACAAAGCTTTATGAAGAATTTTAATTATTCAATTCTATTTTACATTTTTTTAACCATAAAATAAATTTTCTATTTAGTTTCCCTTCAGGATCAATAAAGTATTTTTGAATTGAATTAAATAAAGTTTTGAATCTTTTCATGGAATCTGTGTTTTTTTTTTTGTTTTTTTTTTTTATAATTTCTTTGAAAGAATATTTTTGATTTGAAAATATTCAAATGATTCTCAAAACATGTAAATACAGAAAAATATTTTATTTCACAATTACAAGAAGCAAAAATATGTTTGAAACAAGAGGAAGTCAAAGTGAAGCCTTAAGTCTTCAGGATATCTAGTTTTCTCGTTGCCACATAAACGCATCTCATCTTTGATTCCTCATCTCTGGTATGAGCTTTTTTAGATCTTGAGTATGAAAAAAAAAATGCCACTAATATTTCCACCTTGGCTAAACTTAGGATGACTTTTTAAACATTCTGAACCTTAAATATTTTTATCTTTGATGTGGCTAAAATGTCTTTATTGAGCCCATTTAAACTTTTAAACTTGTTTTAGCTTTCCCTTTTTTAAGTGCACTTTGAGATTTGAAGTCAAATGTAAAGTGCGTTATAAAATAAATTCATTATTTAATAAAAGGACATCTTTTACCTTGTAGTTCAGCAGGATGCGCTGAAGAGCGCGAGAGATGGCTTTGATGTCATTTTCAGCTCGAACCTCGAAGGCGTGTTTTTCTGGAGGCAGAAGCTCCTCTGTCGTCTTCTCCAAGAGAGCAACCCGCTCAGCTGTGTAGAGATTACTCAGGTTGGGCATTTGGTTGCTTCTCACCTGAAATTACATAATTGCACAAAATATTGAGAGACTTTATAAAATGCAACTAGAAGGCAGTGAAAGGAATATCAATGGGGGCTGCTAGTGTAGCGTAACAGATATGCTCATGCTTCATATCGCAAGCACCATGTTCCCATGCTGTATTTATAAAGATATATAAACGAGAAGAATTCCTGTTTTTCTTACCGTGTCCAGGACGAAGATGCTTGCTTTGCGCTGAGAGGGGATAAACAGGCCGAACAGAGCCTTCTGACCTTGGCTGTGATGGTATAAATATATGTGGCGAACACTCCCTGAGAACAAGGGGCACATGGCAAGAAAAAAGAAGGCAAAAGATTTAAAGGAGAATTTCACCATCAGCTCTATAAATCAGCTGACTTAAGATGAATTATAAAGTATTGAAACAAATGGTTTAAAGTGGTTCTGTCCAAACCATTTCCTGCAGGTTTTAGAAAATACATCTGAATGATCAACGGTCTACTAAACACCTCTACTGTGCTACAAACTCCAGAATCAGCTGTGGAAACATCTAAAACCCACACAGCTGGAGTTGGAGAAATCTTTACCAAACTCCATTTCAAGATGATGGCATTTTTAGGAGAACCTACCAGGTTCCAGGTAGCTGAACTGGGCCAGAGACCTCATCTCCAGATGTGCCAGGTCGAAGGAGTCGGTCTCCCTGCCGGCCAGATCCCTGACCACATGTTTGTTCACCATGCAAACACATCCCAGCTGCACCAATGCACGGAACAGCAGGGGGACCTATCAAAGATGAGCAGCGGAAGCTTGAGTTGCGCTCTGAATTCATAGCGTTTTTTAGTGTAGCGAAGGAAGTAGACTTAGAATACATAGCTAAATAAATGACAAACCTGTGTTTCATAGACACCTTCAATGTCTGGAGCAGAGAGGTCAGCATTGATCTCATTGATGTGCTTCTGATACATGTCTTCTGGCACAGAGTACTCATAGAGGTAGTACACAATGTTGGAGCGAGGCAGCATGCGGTTCACCTACAGATGTGGACATTTTTCTAATACTGTTTTTTTTAGCATCCATGTTAGCCTTAAAACATGCCCTGAATGTTTACCTTCCTGTAAGCGACTCCTCCGTCGTCTTGTTTTGGTACCTTCTGGTTGACGTAGAAAACGCGCGGGATGTTTAGTTTCATGCAGTGAAGGTCGTTTCCAATCACAGCCCACAGCTTATACAGACCAGGGTGGTTGGTCTCTGCAATCTGAGACACATGACAGACACGTCACTTCACAGGCCAAAATTTTTACTATGAACTTTCACACTGAACTCAAGTCTGGACTTTGACTAGGCCGGTCTGGAACATGAATTTGCTTTGACCTAATCTAATTTTCACCTTTGCAGCTGAAGAAAAAACAATAACCCCACAGCATCATGCAGCCACCAGCGTGCTTCACACTGAATACTTGTCTAGAGTATTATGCAATGTTTGATTCCCAAACTACTGTCAGCTTTCATGCAGGCCTAAAGTTCAACTCTGGTCTCATGTGAGCAGAGAAACTTCATCCACATCTTTGCTTTGACCTTTACAAGGTTTGTGTAAAAGCAGAGACATTGTCGTTTTTATGCTTCCTAACAATAGGTCTCCTTTCTCTCCTTTACCGGTATATAAAAATATTTCTGGGGTATTGCACAATATTGCCATATTTTCCTATTTCTTCAGTATCATGGAGGTGCAACAGAAAACGGAGATTAATCTTTTGAACATAAAAAAATTCCCCTGCACCAGTGTAAAAAATAGACCGTTCATCACCTGAACAATCTGCCATGGCATGTCCAGGATGCTGCGTGCTGTTCGGCGCAGAAAGCTTCCCAGTCCGGTGGTGGGCCCACCTCTAATGACTCCCCCCACAGGTTGGGATTCTCCGTCCAGCAGTTTCCTTCTCTTCTTCTTCTCCTTTCTCTGCCTCAGCTGCAGCTCCCATTTTTTCTTGTGATAACGCAGCCACACAAGTCGCTCCTCCTTTAAAAGCAAAAGGTTGATAAAATTGAACAAAAACACGAAAAATAAAAACGAGTCAAGATAAACCTGTGTCGTTTAAAATGAACAAGAAATCCATTCACAGTATTTAAATGGCTGCTCCCCTACCCGTGTTTTCCCCATAGGGGGTGGAGGTCCCAGGATTTCTCTCCAGGACTGTGTGAGCTCCACGTCCTGCGACTCCACCTGGCTGTCCTCTCCTTGAGAAACCCGCTTCCTCTTGGTGCTGATGAGGATGGCTGGCTGCAGGGGTTTAGGTGGCATCCCAAAGTCCTCCATGTCTACAGTTTGCCCAGCTTCAAGAGGCTGGTGGGCAATCTATGAGAGAAAAGTGTACATATTTTAATATTTCACAAGATAGCATTTGTTAGCATTTAAAGGTCTTTAAGGCATGGTGCTGAAGCTACCTGTCTCTTGCCCTCACTGGTGAACAGTTCGCTGATTTTCTTTTGCTTGTATATATCGTTTTTCTCCAGCAGCTTCTTGTGAAGCCAGTCGGGATGCCTCACTCTTGGGACTGGGTTCTTCACCTTGTGTCAAACAGAAGTGATAAAATAGATCTTTAAATCAAACTGGGTTACATCCAAAATTCTGTTAATTTTTAATTCCAAAAAAGTAAAAAAAAAAAAAAAAAACAAAAAAAAAAAACAATCCACTGGACGTTGTTTCCCAGTTTGAAGACGTTTTGCTTCCCATCCAGGAAGGTTTTTCGATTCAAAATGTCAGAATTAAAAAAAAAATTCTGACTTTTGAATTGAAAATCTTTAATGGATGGGAAGCAAAACGTCTTCAAACTTGGAAACAAAGTCCAGTGGATTGTTTTTTTTTACTGTTTTAGATTGACTATGACCTGGATGACTGAGAATCTTCACCATCAACTGTTCATTTTAGAAGATGACTTACCTGCTGCAGAGCTGCAGGGATAGTGATGATTTTTTGGATTGCACTACCCAACCTCTCAATGTAATAACTCCAATCCAGGATCTGGAAACAAGCACATAAAATAAAAAAACAAAACAAAAAAACAAACGGAAAAAAAAAAACTAAGTTGCTTTTTAGGCTTTGGGAAAAGAATCATATTGGGGCTCACAGAGCGAATGTCCAAGTCATGCAGGCTCGGCATCTTTAACCACTTCCGAAGGAAATGTTTCTTCACACTGGGCTCTGCCTGGAAGATGGCCAGAGGAATGGCCCTGAGGGAGGAAATGCATAGATGGTGTCCAATAGGGTCAAACTGATCTTTTACTTACACAAATGGAGTAAAAAAGGCTTTCTTGCTAAGGAAGCATTTAGAAAAAAAAAAAAAAAACACACACACACACTTACTTTGCTATCATTTGTGTTCGGGGAGAAAATGTATTTTGACAGAGAGAAAAAAATTCAGCACCAAACAAAAGTTTGCTTTTATGATGATGATTTTGTCTGCTTTATAATTAGATTAAAATGCAAGTTTCTTAAAGGTCTGTAATAAAACCCTCATCGTTTCTAGAGGAAGTAAGTAAACAAACAGCTTAATGAGAGCCAAAGGAACCCTAGGTAATGCAGGACAGAAGCCTTCTACAGCCTTCAAAAATGAGCTGAGCTTACAGGGAAAGTGGTATTGACTCAAAACAGCAATTTGTTTAGCTCACTCTTCTGCTATGTAATTCTTTAAACTGATCTACCTAAAAGTTTCCATGAGATTCTGGGATTTACCATTTAAACTCAACAGTTCAAAAGTTATTGATATTTTGCATGCATCTTTTCTTATAGACATGACTTCCACTCCATGTTTTTCTGATCACGAACCACTATATCAAGATTAATTCAGTATAAAGAAACTAAATGTTAAAGGAGGTACAGAGTCATTTCATTGTGCTTTATCAAGTTCATGCACTGCTGCTGTGTTCTCGGCCCACCTTTCTGTGACAGGGGAACCCTCTGGTTTTCTGGAGATGACGTAACGACAGCTCAGACCTGCGTCTTTCACCATCTGGTCTCCTAGGAACTCGGCCAACCTCTTTGCCGTGCTGATGGACGTGGACTTCTGCTCGCCGTAGTCCTCCAGCTTCCTGGACATGGAGCGGTTCTCTGAGATCAGCTCAAACAGCTCAGCATCTGGCATGTTGGCGGCCTGGGGGAAGAAAAACAGTCAAGTCAGCTTGATGTTTGGTGACACAATTTGTACCATGGTCAAAAGCCACGACAGATTCTAGATGTCCACCTTGCTATAGAGCACGTCCAGCCAGTAGTCGGCCACTTTGGCCACTGAAGCGTAGACCTCCTCCAGAGTGGTGCCTTTGAGAAAAGCCTCAAAGACAGAGGACTGGAAAATCTTAATGAGCTGGAGCTCACCTCTCCTCTTCACCTCAAAACCTTTGAGCTCAGCCAAGGAAGCGTCCTCATTAAACACAGCATACCTAAACAAGAGGCAGAGGATCCTTCATCAACACGTTACATTCCAGAGATCTAAATAACCCAAAGATCAGTTTCTGCCTACCTCTTCTTCAGCTTCTTCCCTTCCTCTTTGGAGGCAGGCAGAATCATTGCCAGATAAGGTCCGTCCACCTCGAAGAAGATGCTGTTCTCTGCCCGAACGTTGTAAGTTAGTGACGTCGGGTCCACCAGCTCGTGATACTGGTCATTGGTGAATCCCTCTTTCACCAGGATGTTGAGCATGGCCCCCGGGTAAGAGATCGTCACTTTGGGCTTTTTCTCATTGCTGGTTTTTACCACAAAGTTCTCAGGGAAGGTGTTAGGGAGGACACACCAGATCCCGTCAGTGTCCAACTCCAGGGGTCTCCTGGGTTTCACATAAAAAGGGAGACAGTAAATAGACGAGGATTAGGTTTTTTTGACAGGTGAATTCTGGCAAACAATTTTTTTTATCAACATAAGTTCAATAAACATTTCTACAGACCAGAAGCTTCATGCAAACAGCATCCGGAACATTTTTTCAACTTTCCAGAGTTCTCTGCAATTTACTTTTAAAATACAAAGCAATAAATGACTAAGTTAAGCAGATAATTCCACAATAGGCTGAGTTTAAATATGAGACCTGGTAATACAACTATGGACCTACCAGAGCCTCAGTATCAACAAACTCACATATGTGATCCAGACATGCATATGGTGATTAAAATAAGCACACAACAGTTACACATCCACAAGACAAGATTCACAATATTTGAGATGCATACACAACTATATTGCGGGTTTACAAACCAACAGTGGTCTTTGAACTTTACAGTGTTGTGTGTCTCAGACTCCTCTGACGTGATTTGATGCACAAAGACATCTTTTTTTTTTCTAATCAAGCTATGTTTGCAACCAATTAGATAACTCACAACATGCACAACATGTACATCTAGGTGGCCTGAACTCCAGTCACCTTAGCTCATAACCATCGGGGGGAATGTTTGCAGTTACAACATTGTTCTAGTGATTGGCTGAAACAGTGGAGTTATCCAACCTCATCTTGTGCATGTTTGCATCATATGAAAGTTTGTTAATATTGAGACTCTTCTAGCGCCGTATGCAAAAAAGTGATAGACAGGATACAAGAAGGGAAATTAAAAAGAAAATAACAGAAGGAACGAATACGAGTGGACAACAGGAAATAAGAGTTGAAGAGGATAGGGAAGAGGAAATTACCAGAAAGGTGGGGGGGGGGAAAGCATGCTGAGCCATGGAAGCACAGAGACTAAGGCTACGTTCACACTGCAAGCCTTGACGCCCAATTCAGATTTTCTGTGAAATCAGATTGTTTTGCGAAGTCGTTCACATTTCCAAATATATACGACTTGATGTGATGTCCTTTATGAACTACACGTACAACTTAGAGACATGGAGGACGTGATGACGTCACAAATAGCAAGCTTACTCTGTTCTTACAGAAGTAAACATGGATGGTAGTGTCAGAGCACATCTTGCAATTTTTGACTTATTTTCCAACCTCAGCAAGTTCCTTAAAAGCGCACTCTTTTCAAGAACATTGAAAATGAAGGCTGCTCTCTGCATTATCATCCGCCATGGTTGCAGTTTTTCCTCTAACTCAGTTCAGATTTAGGATCACAAAGCCAAATGGCTTGTGTTGCATTTAAAAAGAAAAATGGGATCTGTGTTGTTCAGACTCTCATGAGAAGACCTGATACAGGTTGCATATTGGCAAATAAATGAAAGAATAATTGGATTTGGGTCCCTTGAGGCTGCTCAGTTCTTTGTAACAGACTGCGCATGTGTGTGGGTAGCAGGAGTTGCAGGCGGGAAGGAGCTTGGCTGCTGAAGGGTTGGTCTTGTTCATGGCGACCATTAAACTAGAGATTCTATCCTCTCCTGTCAGATTATTGAGTTAACAGAGGCTGTAGCATCAATGCAGCCATGAAGGAAAAGAAGGTAGTGAACAACTAAAGGTCTATCTCCCAGATAGATATCTCTCCATACCCAAAAACAAACATGGAGAAGCAGCTTTTAGTTCTCATGCTCAACTAATTTTGGTAAAAACTCCCAAAAAAACATAAGATCTCTAAAACCCTCAGTTGCTTTAACTCCAGATTATAAACTTATTTCTTTAGAGTGGCCTTTATCTGTGCTATAAAAACATCATCAGTTAATTTGAAGTTTTTATAAAATATTTTCTTTTTTTTATACAATTATCTTATTTTAAATATTCACTTTTACTCTCTTAACCTATTTGTTTTACCTCTATGCCTCTGTAATGTATTTTGTCATTTACAGCTCTTTGAATTGTCCCATCATGAAATGTGCTTAATGAATAAACAAGCCTCGCCCTCCAACCCAACTTTCCTGAATTTAGCATCCATCAAACTGTAGGTTTGGTCTCTTTTTGACATGTTGTAAAAATCTCTCACCCTATTTGTTCAATGAGCTCTCTGGCCTGAGTTATGATGTTCGCTCCAGTGAAGCAGACGATGCCAGCCATCTCCATGGAGTACCAGCGCGCTCTGGGACAGAGAGAGAGAGCATCAGTCCTCATCCATCCAACAGCCGGACCTCACAACTGTAGAAGCTGGGATTTCCCCGCTCGCCTACCCTTTTCTCATGACATAGCCATAGAAGGAGTTAAGGATGCATTTATGAGCCAGCTGAAGAGACTCATACAGGATCTCCATGTTTTTACAGCGTTTCACCTCAGCAGCATCTCCGTTATCCTGAGCAGCCGACAGCTTCTTCTTCCACACCTTCAATGAAAAAATAAAATGGATAGGTCAGTAAATGCTGATGATTAACAAAGAATTTTTCTTAAGCTCCCACAACATACTTTGTGGAGTCCTTTGAATTCATAACGGCGATCCCTGAATGCTCTGACTGTGTCGACGTAGAAGGAGTTTTCTCTCTGGCAGATGGTGGTGACTCGCTCCTCCAATCGCGTCACATGAACCTTCTTGTAGGCCCTCTTACAATAATCTGATGCAAAAGCAGGTCCATAGAATTACACGATTCATGCCACTGCAATCCAAAGCTTACAGTGTTGCTTACCTGCGAGGCGTTTCTTCTCGTGTTTGGCCTGCTCCTCCCTGTTCAGAGCGTGGAAGGCCCGAGGAGGACCATTAGGGAACAGAGGGGGGAACTTCTCCGACTCTAGCTGCTGCTGGATGCGGTGGAACTCACTGCGGCTTGCAGGCACTGAGGACATAGGCAGGGTTATAAGTTAATTAGCTTTTTTTTTTGATTTTACGCTCAAGAGGTCTTGAAGCTTTTAAAGTACTCCTACTTATTTTATTTTATATCCGGAGACTTTAAGTCCTAATAGATGTTCTTTAACCATTGAAAGATGTTGAGTATGCTGGTTACACATTCTCTAGACAATGACTCAAAACACAGGCAGTAATAATGAATTGGTATAGATCAGAAACCTATACAATCCAAAGAGCCATTTTTTCAGTCATTTCAGAAAAAAAAAAAAAACTGTTAAAAAAAAATAAATCAACATTAATGATGGCATTTATAAAAACAGAACCAATTTCTATTTTACAAATAACACTAACTTGTTCAAAAAAAATAGGATGCTTTTATTTGCTTCTGTAAGATGTCATTTTAAGACAGTTAAATAAAATAACTATTTTTTGAACCTCATGACAAAAAGGATCTAAAAAATATATTTCAGGTACTTTTAGTGCCTTTCTTTATGGAAATTCAATGTCACTTTTTCATCAGGAAAAAAATGCAGAAGCCTGCATTTAAAAAAAAAAAAATATTTAGACTATTGGTTAGGTCTTTATAAATTTTAGCCAGTTATCAACAATGCATAACCAAACTAGGCAACTGCTTAGGGCCCCAGGCCAACAATGGGTCCCCCATGAAAAATCTATTATTTGGGATCAGATTTTTACATACCCTATATGATGATATCTATATATATTAACCAAAACTCATGATGGAATTATCAATTCTTTACATAAAAACATATTTATCATAAAGAAATCATTATTCAGACCTGGAAAAAAAAAACAACACGAAAAAATTTTAGTCTTGGGACAAGACTGTCAAACAGATTAGGAGGGATTGGCATAAACTTCTCTGAAACAAAGAAACACTTTTATATTTTTGTTAAATAAAATTTATTTAATCTTGTCTTTTTGTAAAAAAAAAATGTTTAATATTATTTTAAAAGATATATCTTTTGCACTACAAGTTATTTTTGCACAGAGCTTTTGTAGTTCACATTATTGGCAGAATTAGAGGGTCCCAAGATCACATTTTGCTCAGGGCCAGCCCTGGAAATTATTATGGAAGAAAAAGGACTATTGTGGCTCAGGAGCCATAGGCTGCAGACCTCTGGTGTAGATCGTAGAGGAATTAGGGTTTTAGAACAGCCTAGTCAAAGTCCAGAGCTAAATCCATACAAGAATCAGTGGAAAGACATTGATGTTCACAATGAAATCTATTGTTTTTTCTGTTTATGTACAAAATATTGCAGAGTTTCAGTTGTAACTGCAGTTTAAATTAAATTAAGTCTAAACAGAAGTGCAGATTAATCATCCATATTTCACCACTTTTCTTTTAGTTCATTAACAAAATTAATTAATTAACAATAAAGTAAGATTAAAATTTTGTGGTAATAACTAGGGCTGCAACTAACAATTATTTTGCAAAATCGATTAATCTGTCGATTATTTTTGATTAATATCTAGACAGGAAAAGGATCCTTAAAAAAGATAATTTACTTAATAAAACCAGATGAAATTAACTTTTCCACTTGAGGAGTTCTGGATAGAGCATAGAAGAAAGGTTTTTTTTTATCTTAAATGCAAAACGTTAACAAATTTTATTTTTTATCTTTGTTAAAATTTATGCTCAATATGGGTTCCTCTGTCAGGTAAAGGCATGTTTTAGCCCCTATACAATTAATCTATTATTAAATTAGTTGGCGATTATTGAAATATTCGATTAATCACAATTTATCCGATTAATTGTTTCAGCCCTAGCTGTAATGTGACCAGAGGCGGCCGACTCACTGATTTCTCCTCTCCACTGCCACGCCATCCTCCTCTGGCAGGTGGCCCCGGGTTTGTTAAAGTCACAGGCAGCACATGTGGCCTCATCGACCATAGCTGACGGCTATAACAGCAAGGACACGACACCTCATTGTTACTGTGGCATTTGAGAATCAAGCCTTAATTCATTGCTTGATGTTAAATGCTAACCTGCAGACGGTTTGTCAGAATGATGTTGGGGTACATCGCCCCGACATCCAGATGGTAGATGAGGGGGCATTCGATCCTGTTTGGAACGTCCTTCAAGGAAGTCAGCTTCTTTTTGATTTCATCGCATACCTAAAAACCCAACATGATTAATAGTTTTAAGATGTAAGACATGATTCACAATATGTAAGTAAAAGAAAAGTCCACGCACCTCGTTAAAATTGGTAACCTGCTCCAGAGGAATCTTCTCCTCCTCTTCGATGGCGTGACGCATCGTCCTCTCCACTCTTTGAAGCAGGAAGTCGAACGCGGCTGGGTTCTGTGGACAAATCACAGCAGACAGTCACATCTAAAGATGAAGAATTTGCAGAGGGAGATAAAGAATCCTTTCCTGTACCATTTTAAAACGACAGGGGATGTCACTGCGGAAAACTCCGGACTCTAGCGCCTCCACATGGCCGCCCACATAAGTCTCTGAATCCAGGACGTGACCATCGTCTGTCAGCTTGTTAAAGATCTGCTCCTGCTTGTTGGGGAACACGATGTTGGCGTGGAAGGCCTGCACCATGAGCAAGGCTTCACACAGGGTACCAGAACCTTTACGCAGCACCTGTTCAGACGGGGCCACGGCGTAAGAGACGAATATCCACAAAGCATATAAAAGCTGCTGCGATTAATGTGGATTTTCACAGCAAGAACGTGGAGACGAACCTCATCGGGCTCCATGGGGATGATGGTACACAGGGCGAAGATGAACGGGTGAACATATTTCATGTAAAGGTAATATGTGGCCACAGCATCTGACACAGAGTAGGTAGCTAAGGTCTGATGTAAAGAGATGGCAAAACATTAAATCAGAGATAAAAACTGACTTTTTGAATTAAAGTCCAAGTTTAACACTCTTTCTGTACCTGCGGCTCTTCAGTCGCCATACGGCACATCTCCTCTGGGTCCAGCTCCACTGGGTCGTAGCCTAGTTTAGCCTTGGCTGCTGCCTTCAGATTGTGACTCCCTACAGGCAGGTAGCTGTCCCTCTTTACCCACCTGATGCATAGAAGAGGCAAAACAGGAAGGTGATGAAACCGTCTAACAATCTTATGACCTGATCAGGTCAGGAGTGTTCCCACCTGAGGCAGTCCATGTGGATGGCTTGAGTGGATTTATACTCTCCCTGGCTATCCTTCTGAAAACCAATTTCCCGGTGCATGCTAAGCCCATGGAGTGCTGCACGCGTCTCAACAAAAGGCCTGTAACAATTAAACACAGTTAAAAACCAACATTTTATATCAAGATTGTACAAATTTTCCAACCAACTACAGACTATGTAAAAAGTAAATTGATGCTTCAACCTGGAAGACGGAAAACATAACTGGCTCACCAGTCAAAGAAGTCTCCGTTGTAGGTTACGAAGATGTTTGGCTTGGTTTCCTGAACGTGATCGAACCACCTCTGGATAAGAGCCGCCTGCAGCCAGTCATTTAATAGGTTACAACACGGCTGATGTGGTTTTGAAAGCAGAAACTTTTAGAAAAATCAGACATTTATATTCAGCCCATTGCACTCTGATCTACCCATAAAAAAGTCTGCAGCAGCTAAACGCTTCCAAAATATTTAAGAGGGTTTCCAGAAGCGTAGAGGAGGAAAAACAAAGAAGGCTGAAGCGGTGTAACGATTCAAACAGATGGATAAACGCATAGAGTTTGTATTCAGTCTACATTTCCCCCTTTTTTTTTTATGTTGGCCTATTCCCCTAATCATACCCACCTCGTCATCCTCGTTAAAAACTGTGAAAGGCCCTTCATATTCCGGTTTGGGGGTGAACTCAAAGTCCTCGATGTTCTCGGAGACGATCTCCCTGTTTGTGATTAGAAAGCCCTTGAAGGACAGAAATCAGAGCCGTGAGGAAACCGACACCAACAATGAAGGGAGGTTAAACAGAAGCATGCATGTTGAATAACGCCAACCTGTCCGTCAATCATGTAGGAGATCATCATGATCTGGTCCGTCTCCGCGTCTGGGAATTTCAGAGGAAGTTTGGTGGTTTCGATATCAAAAGCCAAAACAACCGGGTCCTAAGAACACAAACACAGAAGCTGGGTGTAAAGGAGAGGGTCCCGGCAGTGAGAAAGTATCTGTGCTTTTCAATATAAATAACATCTCCACACCGGGCGCTCCACTAGATCGTCTCTTCGCACTATCTCTGGTGGAAAGGTGCTGCCTCTGTATCGGACGTTGTACCAGTGAGCCTGGATGAAGCAGAACCAGATTAGAGGAAACAACCTCTAAATAGATTGGATTTAAAAAAGGAAACACAAGCATTAGAGAAAATCATTCTTACCACATGAATCTTCAGGTCGATGGACACGCGGACATGATACGGCACATCATACTCTCTCATGTCCACTATATTATCCAGCTGGTCAGCGATACTCTTGAGCGTCCCGTCATCGTCAGCCGAGGTCACACTGCCTCCTGCTAGAGCGCTTGAAAACAAAGGAGGACGTAATTAAAAAAACAAACTAACAAACAAAGGGATCAAGGTGAAGCCTCTGGGACTCCAATATGAACAATGAAGTATAGCTACCTGGACAACATGGACGTGTAGGCGTCGTTGGACTGTTCCCTCTCTCTATTCTTGCGTACGGCAGGAGAAATCTCACGCTTGACTTTGATGAGGTCGTCCACGGTGTTGAATGAGAGCTTGATGTAGTTTCTCTTCAGTCCAACTAGATGGTTCGGCTGGGGAGAGCGAGGCGTTACGTTAAACTCAGCTACTCTGGATAATCTGAACGCTGAAGGACCCAAAATCTCTCACCAAGTCCAAGTCCTCCTTTGGAACAATTTCAAGTTTTGCCACCTTTCCTTGGAACTTCTTGGATAAATAGGAGATGACCTCTCGCTCGCAGTTCTGGAAATAAGATACTCTTTACAGTTCTCTAAAAGCAGGATTTAGATCTAACAAAATTACTGACAAACATACCTTTTTAGTTGCTACGTAGAAGTAAGGCTTGAAGGGTAGAGCCACCTGCGGAGCAGAAATGTAAATCCCTTAATTGTGCCAGAATGGGGAAATTTATTCTCTGCATTTGACTCATCTTGGGAAGCAGTGGGCTGCCACTGTGTGGCACCCGGGGAGCAGTGTGGGGTTAAGGGTTTTGCTCAGAACCCAGGGGATCGAACCGGGTACTTGCAACCTTCTCAGAGCACAAGCGCACCGCTGTTACCACTAGGCCAACACTCCCCAAGTAAAAACATAAGAGCCTTCATTCATTATTAGCTCCTCTTTAGCTATGGTGAATCTCTTGTCTGTTTTCATTAGCTACCAACCCCTTTTCTGGGGGGTTCTGAGGAATCCAAAGCTTGGGTTCTCTGAAAGAAATTTATCTGACCTGTCTGCTGTGTTGATCCATCTTGATGGTTCTTTTTGTTAAATAATGTCCTTTAGAGAAGTGTTGACACTGAGAAGTTTGCAGTGTTGCACACAGCAGGGTGCAGGGATACAGATTTATTCAGAAAGTTTAAGAAATTGTCCTTCCACTTTACTTTCTATTGGTCTGACACAATAAACTTCCAAAATTACTAATTGTTTAGTTAGAGGGGTGTGAATACTTTTGTCAAAGCTTATTTTCCTTTTTTTAGATGACATACCTTGAATCTGCTCCCGTCCTCCTGGATAAAATAATAGTCCACAGCACTGATCATCCTTTTGTCTTCATCCAGGATCTCCGTCTAAAATAATGCAAACATGTTTAGTGACGCATATGAGGCTACATTTGATCCACGCGTGTCACAGCGTGGACTCACGGGGTGCATGTTGATCAGCCAGCCGGTTTTCTCCCCGGGTTCCTTGATCCTGTCAAAGCCGAAGCGGGCGTCCATGTCATCGGTAAACTGGCTGCGCTCCAGCCGCTTGAGCGCCGACATGGAAGATCCATCATCCCTGATTAAAACACGCAACGACGTTGATTTCGCGATTTCTTTAGTTAACTTACGTCACTAGCTTGCATTTAGTTGTGTTGAGAAGATAAATGTCCGCAAACTTACTGGTTGTCTTGGTCTGCTCCAGGTTGGCCCCTGTCCGCTCTGTATCGTCCGCTGTTCTGCAAAACCATCTTCTGTTATTAGCTCTCTGTACCAGACGAAAAAAACTAACCAACTAAGCCTAAAATCTCTATATTAAAAATGAAGTTAGTCACATAGCGTAGCGTAAAAGGCTCGTTTTTGGCCTATTTCCCCTCTGTTATTGTGGCTGCGATACTTCTCAAGGTTTTTCTTCTTTTGGCGCCTTCCTGCAGTTGCCGCGAGACTGGGAGCAGGAAGACAAAAGATCGTATATTTTAAGGTGATGATTGACATCGCACATAGTCTCGTTACAGCGTTATTAATGTCGTTACTTTTTTAAATGAAATTTATGTTATTGTAAGATTAAATAAAATAAATTTTAGAGCCTTATTATGTGCAAGCCAGTTATAATATGGCTTAATACACTGACAATAGAACAAACATGAGGAGAGTAGGGAAGGTTATCAACATTAATGAAAAATGGTATTATTATTTCTTTACACAAATTTAAACAAACTGTTCAACAAAGAAAGAAACCCTAACACTAACTTATCCAGTTAGTTTTTATTTGCCATGTTGTGAGGCAAATTTGCTTGATAACAAAGACACTGTTGTGTGAAATACCCTTTTTCGAAAAAAGACAATTTACTTAAAAATTATATATAGAGAAAAAACAATTAAGCTTATGTATTATTCTGAATTTTAATATTTTTTACCAGGCCTACCTGCTTTAAATAACGTGCTTTATTTTAGTATCCGAAATTTGTAATATTTGTTATGTTCCTTTAACTGCTTGATATACTAATAGAGATGAGTCGTTTAAATTGAAGTGCGATTGGGACTGAGGAAGAGAGATATACTTGCCGTGAATCGACGATCTTTGCGGCCTACTGTTTATGGGAGGAGCGTGACCTCCATGGACGTGTTTACGTTGCCTGCTGAGAGAAGTAGGAGGTGCATGAGGAGGTGCAGGTCCGCGGGCAGTGGAGAACACACCGGTCGCTAATGGTAGGTGACATTTAAAGCTGTCCCAGAGAGGGGAAACATTAGACCAGCGGTTACAACTGGGCCGACCGGCTACAACTGGGCCGACCGTTATTTTTCTTCCCCTTGTCAAACATCAAGGATTGTGTTTTGAAATAATATATATATATATATATATATATATATATATATATATATATATATATATATATATAGCAGATTTTTTTTTGAGTAAACTGTTAAAAACTTACAGTTTTCATTTTAATAATATATATATATATATATATATATATATATATATATATATATATATATATATAGCAGATTTTTTTTTGAGTAAACTGTTAAAAACTTACAGTTTTCATTTTTAATCCGTTATCATTAAACTGCCCTTTTCGTTATATTCAGACATGATCAGATTGTGTATAAACAAAAATCAGCCTGCAAATGAAAAGACACGTTGTTCTGTCACAATTTGTTATTTTTAACAGTTCCAGGTGATTTTCTCATGTGATTTCCCCCTTAGTCACACAGAGGGGTAAATATGTCATATATTCTATATTGATTTGTACACCTCCCTTTTTATTCATCATTATTTCAGTCAATCTATTAGATTTTTTTATTTTTTATTTAACACGTGAAGTGGACCTCCTCTCAGAGATGACCTTTAGCCCATATCCAGCAGCCACACTTAGCTCTCATGTTTGTCAGCTGTTTCAGGGAGCCTATGTACTGGACCCCGCATGGTTGAGAAATGTCTCCTGGTGGATCCTTCTGCCATTCAGGGACACATATCCTCACGGACAAACTGAGAGGTTTTGAGGGGTTTTCATTAGCCTAATATTTGCCTAACTGCTTTGAGTTTCTGACCCCTTATCACCTCAAAGGAAACATGTTCAGATTAGGACACTATTCAGGATCAAATGCTACAAGTGAGTTTTTTCAGTTTATTGGACCCTTCGCTTCTGCCAGTTTCTTATGACTAAATCTGTTTTTATTTATTATCATTAACTATAATAAATTTTATTGTGAAATAAATGAGTAGACCCTTGATTGATTTTTTTTTTCCTTTACGTTTTGTTATGTTAGAGTGACTGACATTTTTTTCCTCCACGCAATTAAACAGCTCAAGCTGGTAATTTTTCCATTTGCATTTGATTATGTCCATCTTGTTCTTCTTATAGCATCGGGAGGATGCCTTTAAATGTTCCTGCTTGTAGCTTTGGTATGTATCTGGGTATTCCTGCTACTATGGAGAAATAAAACCCAAACAGTAGCTATGCCTGGAAAAAGTCAAGAATCAGCTGAGAAGGAGATTTCCATTGCACAGTCCGACTCTCATGCAGAGAGCCTTTCCCTCTCAGCAGCTGTACCCAAATCGAAATGTATCGATGGCAACAACCCTCCACCATGTTTTGAGTCTACAGGTCTTTCCGACTCAGGAGCGGAATCTGATCATACAGAGGCCTCCTGTGAGGTATTTTCACCGCATCCACAGCTGCAGGACACCCAGAAACCCTCAAAAGCCATCCCACCGAGGCTGAGCTCAAGATCAGAGATGAGAGGGCGCCTCAAGTTCATCCTTGGAGCATCGGAAGATAATTCCTCAGACGATGAAGTACTATTGACAAAACCTCCAAGGGGAGCATCAGCTTCCAAATCCATCACTGAGCAGGCAATTGCTGCTGTGCCACCACCCAGCTCTGTGGTTCTAAAGTAAGAATTTGTCTTCATCAAAGTAAATTTAGTTCCCACCATCTGAGCTCAGGGGGTGTTTTAATGCACTGTCATGTGACGTTCAAACGCATCTGACTAACCTCAAATAACTAACCAGGGATTGTTTTCCAGGTCCGATCTAAAATTGGCTGACCTAATGTAATCGAAGCACATATATAGCGCCTGCTAACGCGTTGTTCTCCTTCTCCGCAAGTGTTATCACCTGACTGCATGGAGCTGTGCTTTTGATGCCTGCCAAACATCTCGGCTCTATTATTGGAACAAGAGCCTGGGCCTGTGACTTTCAGAGTTATATTTTTTGCGACCTGGGTCACAACACAGTAATCTGTTTTTAACAGATTTTTAGATTTAACCCCTTTTTTAATCTGGGTTTTTTTTTTTTTTTTTTTGGTTTCTGCTGCAAAATGTTTTGTTTAATGAGGGTCAGAAGAGTAGTTTAGTGCTCATAGTTATTTGCTCTGCTTGGCGTGCTTATTTTGGTAACCATCATCATGAAAGTGAGAAAGGTAGGATGCAGAATAACTAAGGTCTTTTGTTTTTTAAATGGTGTAGATGGACGTTTATATTACCACAATATTGCACAGGGTTTTATTATAGTTATAAAAAATCTAGAAAAGTATGTCACGTGGCTGTTATTTTCATTTAAAATATGTCAGATTGGTTTCCCTTCTTCCAACTTCTAAAGGACAAATATCAATTAGTGCTTCATATATACAGTGGTTATTACATTAAATTGTTTTAAATGACAACCTTTATCTTTAAAGACACACATCACACCTTGATCTTAGCATCTGGCTTATTGTAATCTTCTCACAAAGAAATAGAATAAAGTAATTTTGTTACTTTTTGGACGTTTTAAATTCTAGCTGTATTTCCTAAGCTAAATCTGGTTAAAGTTTTGAACATAGTCACTAAAACTGCATTTTCTTTTGGAATTATTTCAGAAAAAGAATGACAGAAACAGAGTTACAAACTGAGCTTAAAATGTTCTCATTTATTCTATTATATGCTGTTCTGCATTTGACAAGTTCAAACGTTAAAGTTACAAAATATAGCGGATCCAAATGCTAAATATCCCTAGATCATGTTGACAACCAGAGCTCAGTTTTAACATTATATTTTTACGATTTGGGGGAACCTTCAGTCATACTAGTATGGAATTAGTTTTTTAACTACATTTTACACAGGAGAGAAAGCGGGGGGATAATTATGGAGAAGTTTAAAGCAGGGGAAATAATAAAACAGCATCCCAGGCTTTGAGTCTCATTTAATACATAATATAGGCTAACAAAGGAAAAGTATTAGATTGAAAAGGAGCCAAGAGACCCTTGGTAACTTTAAAGGAGCAGCAGGGATTCACAGCTCAGGTGATAAACCTGTTTATTGGACATATAGCTATGTGAAGTACTCCATAAATCTATTTTTTTGCAGAGGAAGAAGTTGAAAAGAAATTAAGTATATAGTGTCAAACTAGTCATCAAAAGAGCATCCTGTGACCTTTAGATGTGCAGATCTTCAAGATCCAACAATTGGGTAGTTAGCAGGAGCCAATCTAACTTATCAGCATGCTGGTGAGATCATTGAAAGGCAACATAATTCAGGACAGCGGTCCTGGGGGACTGGAGTTGGTTTAACACCCCCCCTCAAAAAACACTGATCTTTCTGACTTTCATTTATTACTAACTCCTCCTCCAGACAAAGAGGAACCAGCATGTATTGAAGCATGTTGTTGTTCTGCACACACTTCAACCAAGACTGAAGATAATAAACAGAAAAGTTGTTTTTTCTTGCATGAATTCAGTTCCTGTCTGCAAAAATCCTGCAACATTTAATTTCAACATACACCTAAAATTTGTAAGAAAACGTGCATGATAAGAAAAAAAAAATAGAAAATTAGAGTCTGGAAGCAACAGATGCATGGAAATAAAAACGGGGAGGAGGGTCTGCTCTGTTGGATATCTGCAGCCAACAATGCGCCTCAGAGGATCTACAGATATTGTGCTGCTGTTCATGTGGGAGGGGGGAAGGGAGGAGGCTCAGCTGCACCCAGGAGGAAGGACTTTATGTGCAGACCGTTTGTTATGATCTGGGAAGAAATAGCTTCAAAAATCCGCTAAAGAGCCTGAGCGGTGTAAAAGGGAGCAGATCATGGAGCGGAATAACTTATTCCCTTACCTCCAGAGGTGAGTGTTTTCCTTCACTCCCCTCTGTCTGTTTGAACTCACACTTGATAGCTGCTGCTACTCGGTTTGGTATGTAAACAATCAGCTTCAAGTTTTAGCAAAACTGCAGAAAAGTAACTCTGATGTCTTTATGAGAACAGAAAACAGCAGCTGGTGCACGCTGTGCAGGCGCCATATAACAGGAAACAGAGTTTTCTGCAGTTCACACAGTTCATTTCACTTTAGCGCTTAGTTTTCTTAAAGGAAATTGTAAAACAAACAAACATAAAAAGCTAAAAAGCAATGCAGTTTATAGTAACTGCGGGCACATCACATAAGAGACATTGATTGACATGAAACG